TCCAGACCATGGCATACTGTCTGAGAAACATCCCAGCCTATCATAGCAGACTTCTGAACCTGTAGCACACAGATCAGATCCGTAATATAAGAATGAGTAAAGAAGTGGAGCGGGCTAGTTATACCTCGTATCATCTCTTTCCTGGAGATCTCTCAGTTACTTGAACACCCTATGGTTTACAGAGAGCAAAGACCAGTAGCTGTTCTCTCTCAGATCGTCAACCCCTACATTTTATCCCAAGGAAAGAAGCCGCCCTATTGCTCATCAACAAAGTATTCAGTGCAGTTCCTCCGTGGGTATCCTATAGCATACTTTAGGTATCTTTTCGCAGCTGTTGTTTTGCCTAAGACAGAGAGAGCTGATGAGCTTCTCCTATTAAGAAGCCAAAATACTGCCAATAATCAGCAATATCTTGAAACTGTTCTCAATGGCTGACTGCACTCTACATGGGAAGTTTTACACTATACAAGCTGGTGGCTTCTGCTGAATATAGCGCTAGACCATCATTAGACTTCCTCCACCCAATGCCCCCAGCTTTTTCTCCATTTTCATCACTAAAGAGGAGGACAAAACCCAACTTCCTAGCCTTGTTAGAGCAATAGCTTTGCTCTGAGATAGAAATCATCAGCATTTCTTGCATGCTTCTAGGGTGGGATTTCCATTGTGGAGAAAAGGAAATACAACACTCACACACTCATCTCGCCATTCTTGCGTAGGAAAGTCACCCATGTAACCTCAATCGGCAAGTTTTAAGGCAAGCTTGGCAAGTTTTTGTAGTGTAGAATGACATCTCACAAAGTACAGCAGCATAGAAAGGCTACAGAAATAATAACCCCATATACTTACCTTCTGCTGCGCTGAGCAGGCATAGTGCAAGTATCCAAACCCCAAGCATCTAGAACAGTAAAAGAAGAAGCAGGTAGTATCTGCTAACCTGCTTGATTAGGAAGTGCGCTTATCTCTCTGCTGAATTTTCTCAAGGGTTCTGTGTCTGTCTTCTCTGCAACACATAACTGCCACGTATGAGCATTATGCTTGCTTGCTCTGCTAGAGATTTTGAGGCTTCTAAATCTATTAAAGCATAGCTTAAATCTAGTGTGACTTTTTCCCAGTGAAGCTATGCTTCCCATTGAAAATAGAGTAGTTATGTTAAAACTAGCCTAAGGATGCCTATGTGAGCTGCTGTCTCCTTTATGCTTCTGTGCCTTGGGAAGCCGTATACCTGACAAGGTAGAAGAAATCCCCCAAATCCCGAAGTACTTACGATGCCTCTTGGAAACTCCATGCACTGGTGTGTGCTTCATGCACTCTGCGTGTGTTTTTTATAGTCTGCTTTATCCTTGGAAATGTTTCCAGAAAGATAGGAATATTTGTTTCAGATTATGGTTTATTGATAGCTGGTAAACAACTCTAATGGCTGTTTTCTCTGTAAAATTCCAAAATCCATGGGCATAGGTTGCTTGAGTTGGTGGAGCCCAGAATAGGATTGGAGCTCCAGAGACAGGGCAGTTCCCAGGCAGCAACACATCAGGAGTGGGACACTAAAGAGAATTAGGTGGATCTTTGTGTCATGGATTTAGGGCCTTGTTTTGGCTGGGAAGGCTTTTGGTTTTAGTATTGGGATGTAGGGGGTCTCCTGGGGAATTTAATAGGGAACAACACTGAGTTCCCACCCTTGCCCTGCAACAAGTGACTTTGTATGTGGAATGCCCCTGTGCTTCTGGGCCTTTTATTCCCATTTCTCTGCATCCACTCAATTTGGCAAAGCTTTATCCCTTTAAGAAAACTACTTAGTGGGCCTGGCAGTCTCTCCATAGTGAAAAAGCCAGACCCTCCTCTGGTGTCCCTTTCATTTCCTTCTTGAAATAAGTAGATGTAGAAGAATGATTGTCTACCCCTTTGGATCCTTTCTATACTGCCCATGTAACCCAAGTTCTGAGAAAACCTTTCTCTTCGTGATTAACTGAGAGTAAGCATGCTGGAAATACACACAAATAACATTCAAAGTTACTCCAGACACTGTGACATGGCCACTTTGTATAGGGATGCTGCAGAGCTCAGTAGGGTGTTCTGCTGGAGACCTCAACCAAAGGGTGAAAAATGGGCTGTGCAGAGGAACAGGACTAGACCTGGGAACCCCTCGGTCCTGCTCAACTCTACGAGAAGGCTGAAAGCGAGCTCAAGAAGAAAGGAAACCTTGGCTAACTCTTCCCCTAGAAAGCTTTGTCACCTTGTCTCTGATTTTTGGTGGTGGCCACATGTCTTGGAGGCGCTGATGGCTCCTAGTCTGCCTCTGCGAATGTCCAAACGGATACCAGTTGTTTGTCTAGGGATCTATTATCCATGCAAGTGGGGTTTATTTCTTAAGTAGTGTTAAAGGGCTTTTTTTTTCTGTTAAAAATCACCTCTGATACGAATTTAGAGCTCAGGGCTCCCATCCTTAATCGAAGTAGCATTTTAGTTTGTAGATATGTCCGTATCAGTGATAAAAGGGAATCGTTACATGCCCTAGTATGCTGGTAAGTTTTAATTCTTGATCAAAATGAAGGAGGAAACCGATTTTCTCTCTTAAATGAAGAGCTGGTGGAAAAGATGTGAGTTAGGATTTTACCATAGTTAGTTGACTACCCTTTTTAACAGTAATAACACAGGACAAACTGAACAGCTAGGCCATGGTCAGACGGGTTTCAGCTGCTTGCTTCTCCTTTGGGAAGAACGATAGGGCTTGGATGCATGTCCCTCAGTACGATGTAGGCTGCTCTCTGGAGGAGCCATTCTGGTCCTTGTAGTCTGGAATCGGAAGCAGGCAGAGGAGAGGACTGGATTTCTGGTGCTGCAGGATGCCCTGGCTCTGTCCTGGGACATGGTGCAGTGCTTCGTGGCATTGTTCATGCCTCCCTTGCCACCTGTCAAGTCCCCAGGGAACTTTCTGTACTGCAGATTTCTCTTGGCTGGACCTCAGACATGTGTTTAATTACCCTTTGAATTCCATAGACTTGGATAGTGTTTAGTCAAGGATACAACACTCATGTTTCTTTTCTTAAATAATATTCCACTTGTAAATCTATACTCATTGTAAATACAGAATCACAGAATGGTTGAGGTTGGAAGGGACCACTTGGGGTCTTCTGGTCCCACCCCTCTGCTCGCACACAGTCACTAAGAGCACATTGTCCAGAACTGTGTCCATGGGAGGAGACTCCACATCTTCTCTGGGCAACTTATGCCAAAGCTCAGTCACCTACACAGTAAAGAAGTTCTTCCTCATGTTCAGGTGGAACTTCCTGTGTTTTTCTTTATGCCTGTTGCCTCCTGTCCTGCTGCCTGGCACCACTGGGAAGAGTCTGGCCTCATCCTCTTGACACCCTCCCTTCAGATGCTTATACACATTGACCAGACCCCCCCCTGAGCCTTCTCCTCTGTAGGCTGAAAAGGACCAGCCCCTTCAGCTTTTCCTCATATAAGAGATGCTCTAGACATTCATTCTAGTGGCCTTTTGCTGGACTTGCTCCTAGAGCTCAGGCTCTCTCTTGTGGAGAACTGGACACAGTACTCCAGGTGAGGCCTCACCAGGGCTGAATAAAGAGGAAGGATCCTCTCTCGTCCTGCTGGCAATGCTCTTCCCAAGGCAACCCAGGACGCCATTGGCCTTCTTGGCCAAATGGGCACACTGCTGGTGGCTCATAGACAACTTGTCCACCGGGACTCCCAGGTCCCTGTCCGCAGAGCTACTTTCAAGCAGGTCATCCCCTGGCCTGTATTGGTGCATGGGACTGTTCCTCCCCAAGTGCAGGACCCTGCACTTGCCTTTGACTTTAATCTCTGCCCATCTCTCCAGCCTGTCTAGATCCTTCAGAATGACAGCACAGCACTCCTGGGTATCAGCCACTCCACCTAGTTTTATATCATCAGCAGACTGGCTGAGGAGGTTCTTTATCCTTTCATCCAAGTCACTGATGAACGAGTGAAACAATACTGGGCCCAGGGTTGACTCTCAGAGGACACTGCCAGTTACAGGTCTCCAACTAGACCATGTGCTGCTGATCACAACTCTCTGAGACCTTCCATTCATCCAGTTCTCAATCCACCTCTGTCCACTCGTCCAGCCCACACTTCCTGAGCTTGCCTATGACAGTGTCATGGGAAACAGCATCAAAAGCCTTGCTGAAGTCCAGGTAGATGTTCTTAATGTTGTATTTCTGCTCCTATTTCTTAGAAGTTTTTCTGCGGAAGTGCTTGTACTTCACTTATCAAACACGGGGAAACAGGAGTTAATAATTTAACAACTCTTTCTTCTTATTCATTAACTTTGAGTTTTGTTTTTATACTTTGAAAAGTATCCCCTGCTTTGGTCTCTTCAAGCTCCAGGTGACTCACTCATGCCTAGTTTTGCAGTAGTGCTCATTTGAATGGGAAATAGTCAATCCCAGGTTCTGCAGAGTCTGGCATTACTCAAAGTCACTTTCTCTCCAGACTGCCAGTGGTCAGAGCAAAGGTATGTGTTAGAAATTAAACAGTAGCCAGGTGCTGTGATCAAGCTTCTGAAGTGGGGAATGTTTGAGGTTTGCCTTCATCTGTTGCTTCTGTGAAGGTGCTGTGTGCAAAGGGCTGCTCTGAAGTACCCTGGTCTTGGTCTGTTCCTGCCCTGTCCCAGGGTGCTTTTGGAGGGCAGTGCTCTTGTGTGGGGCTGGAAAGTTTTGCACAATGGCGTAGACTGTGGAAAGGAGGCATTTGGGACCATTCCCAGCCACAGGGAAGTGCTGAGGTAATGTACTGCCTTGAGAGCGTTCGATAGACAGAGAATCTGGCAAATCATCCATGTGGTGGGAAATAGCTCTTACTTTGAGGCAGTGGTAGAGCAAGACTATACAATGTTATAAGTAGATTTTAGGGCATGATCTCCAGTTTCTTCCATGGTTACAAGCACAATAAACTGGGTGAAACGTGAAAAACATTGACAAGTGTGTTTGCAAAGCACTGAAAAAACAAAGGAAGCCACAGAGAGTTTGGGCTTTGCTTTAATAGCCTTGTGTATCAACATTCCCATGCACAGGACTGATGGTTTGCTCAGCTGCTGTGTACAGAACCAGTTGTAATCTAGCAAGGTGTAAGTAACTGGGGTACTCCATATGTCACAGTTCCATGGCCACAAAAAGTCGACCTGGGAAGGAAAAACCACTTGAATCAATATTTATTTATCTGTTTTCCCCCAAAGACAAATGCAAGGCTCTCAGCTGTCACCTTGAGGCCTGTTAGTTCAATCCATAATCCCACTTAAGCCTTTCTGAAAGCCTGCTGTACAGAACAGTAGCAACTGCATATGAACAGGAACAAGGTGAATTTCCTTCTTTTGAGGACCAGCTGTAAAACTTGAGCTATAATACATGAATAAAACTAATCTCAATATATAGAACTCTAGAGAAAAAGTTAAGTCTTGTTAAGATGCCTTTGTTTAGGCTTGGTACTTTACTGGATAGCGCCAAGCAAACTTTACAGCTTGTTTTTAGGAGGTCACAATGAAAGGGATTTAATCAGCTTCTCTGAATAATCCCAAGCCAATGCCAAATGATATTTTTTTCCTAACATCTAACTTGTATTTATCAGGTTATATCAGTTTAACCTTGGCCTAAACCCAGTGGATATCACTTCCCAGGTAGTTTATGCATCTGTTTTTATGTTCCTCTCCAGGCTTTTCTTTTTATTGAGAAACACATTTCCTTCAGCTGCTCTACTCAGATCAAGCTTTCTGAGTCTCTTTTGGTGTTTTGCAGACTTCAGTGTGTGTGCCTTGCTCCTGAAGTGTACTCCCCAGACTTGAAAAAGACCCTGCTTCTGGTTACAGTTTGACCCCAATTATTTCAATAAGAATAATTATTCCTTGGATCTTCTATAGAGAACAAGGTAATGCACGTGGGAATGAGACTTGCTTTATCTTGGGTTGTAATTGTCTGGCTTTAGCAAAACAGTATACATTCCAAATAATGCACTGCTGTATTTGTTGTCAGACAGTTACCCCCTGTACTTGAAGTTTGTACAGGTTTGTTCTTGAACATTTCACTTTTCCATCCAAAGTGCAATATCTTGTCCTTGTGGTTACTGAAATTCACATTGTTGATTGCAAACTGTGTCCAATTTAAGACTGTTTTTCAATCCTACCTCGCAGAGGTTTTGCACTCCTTGCACATTCCTTCTGAGCTGTAAAAGGACATACTTACCTATGTCCATCTCCGTGAGTTATATTGACTGTTTCTGCTCCCAGTCTTGCCCAAAGAAGGGTAAATAGGGTTTTGTTCCAGAGAAATTCAATTTCTGTAGTTTTTTGGGGGTTAATTTCAACATCAAGATATTTTGCATAAACTTGGTCTTCAGAGAGGTCTCCACTGCAAATACAATGAAGACAGCAGTGCTAAGTTTACCAGTGTAGGGACTGCTGACCTACATCATTCTCCACAAGGTTTGTTACAACAGAAATCTGCACTTGTGCTGCTCTTTGTGACAGTGCAGGCCCAGAACTCTGGTGTCATGCTCTGAACAGGGAGAGGATGAAAACAATAAATGGGCATGAGGCAGGAAACCACTGGGAAATAACAAGGGGTGAGGCAGGGTCTGCCTCCAGCACCCATGTGGGCTGTGTTTTGCACTTATCTTGGCAGGGAGAGCTTCAGCTAAGGTTTGTGGGAAGGACTTTAGGGAAGAGCTGGACACTTCTGTGACACTTTGATCTGCACATACACAGAGGATGGTAAGAGAACGCAGGGAAACGCTTTGGAAGACAGTGGGAGCTGCTGCATTGGTAGTCAATGGGAGATGATAAGAGCTGTGAATGAAGTTTGCTGGCCAGCTTATATAGATGTGCCATTCATATACTACTGGTGGCTTTTAATATCTCCTAGGGAGAAAGGAGGTATCCACTTCGCAAATTTGGTAAGTTTGGGCATAGGATTGCCTTGCATGAGATCATTCAGCAAGTCACTAGCACAGCAAAGCCTTGTCAGAGCAAGGAATGAGTATGCTGACGTGTATGTTGCCAGACTAGTGTGGGAGTGGTTGTGGTAAAGTGCATGTGAAACAGGTGAGCACCATATGAATTATGTGTGTTCCACAGGTGTACATGTGTTTCTTTTCTAAGAGCAACTCAGAGAAACACAGAACTCATGAAAAGGAAGTGATTTCCCTTTCCTTTTTGCAACCATCCATGGACCTTATCTAAATCATAACTCTTTTCATAATCTGATGTTAAGCAGAACGTTTGCAACGCGGAATAAGCTTTTGCACTGCTTAAATGTGTGGGAAATGCATAGATTAATGTTAGCAGCTTTGAATGCTATAGGGAAATAGTAATTTCTCTTACCTGGCAATATCATATTCTTTTGTGTTGCCCTCTGCATCATGGAAAACTAGTTTTATGTCCCCTCTCATTTTCTTTGCACCAGACAGCTGGATAAGTACCTTTTGTCTCCAAGCTGCATAAAGAAAAGCAAAACAAGCTAGGTTCTCATTAATACGAGATAACTAAAAAGACTAGTTTAGTGGAAAGTTCTTTTTTTCCTAACTGGAATTAATCTGTGTTGTCGAATGAAAGACTCAGTGAGCATGAGTATTAGTAACCAATGTAGTGGTTTTTGTCAGAGATGTCGGCAGTTGTTTATAGAAGCACCATAGGAGCATGGTTGTTAATTACATCAAGGCAATCACTTTTCAAACACACCAACAACTGTAACAAACCTTCTCCACTTACCAGCAAAAGGTGGGTCTGCTCCTGTGTTTAAAAAATACTTTTGGTTTACCCTCTCCAGTTTGGCTGGAAATCTGTCAGCGTAGTGCCCCATCATTGGGCACCCCTCTTTTGGACATGGGAAACAGTCTCCCTAGGGAAAATAAGAGCATCAGTTAATGAAGACTGTTTTTTCATCCTAGCTCAGACAAAATGAAGGCTGATGATGCTGTTCTGATCTTGCAAAGCTGTGGCAGTGCTGTATGTTGAATATCTTACCACCAAAACCTGATGGACTTGTTGCAGACAACAGCTCCTGCACCTGGCCGTACACCAGGGTGTAGAATGAGCAGGTTTGATACCCATGTCCATGCTGGTCTGACACTCCCTAGTTCAAATCATTTTCAGCTAGAGTATAGGACAATATATAAGCCAATTTTACCCTTCTAGTGGAAAGCAGCTTGCAAATTCACATTACAACACCATATGGAGGGGAAGAAAAGGAGCATCATTCACAAATGCATTTATTTACATACTCTAGTAAGCGTAAGTTGGAGAACAGTCAAGGACTTTGGAGGCTCCAAATGTCTCTTCTTCCAGCCAGGAATTAGTAGGATAGCTCTATCTAACCTACGTCTTTGCATAAAGGTTTAGGGTGAGAATTGCATGGGGTTTAAGTTTTTCCCCCTATTTTGGTTATATTATCTGTGCCTCAGGATTAATTTCCCAGAGTGGAATAGCTGATGGAGCTGCTGTGCCTCACTGCACTCTTCCTCCTACCAAACCACCCCATGAGAAGCACAGTCACCAGCATCCAAGTCTTCTGCACACATAGTGGGACCTATTATGATTGTACAGACCTGGATCATTTTCTTTACAGAAATTCCACACCCATTCCTGGTCTGATATACTTACCAAATCAAAGGAATCATATCTTTTACAGGGATATCCAAGGAATCCAGTGGGATAAAGGATACTTTTGAAATAATACTCATGACTGCGGGAGTGATGGCACCCTCCAAAGACACTAGCATCTGTGGGAACAAAGTTTATGAACATCAGTGAAATAACCTCCTGCTACCCTGTACAAGGGTTGCACTTGTCTCACCATGGAAACAGATGAGGCATGGAGCAGAACAGCAGCGTGGTCTTGAGAAGTTACTGTTTTGCCTGGGGTTTATCCAGAGAACTGTGTGCCAGTTACCCCAAGATTTCAAGCGGGATACATTGATCTGCTATGGCACCAGAGCCCCTTTTAAGACAATGGCATTAAGTTTTAAAGAGCTTAACAGAGTAAGGAGACTCCACCAGCCTTCTGCTGACCTCTCCAAAGCCTATGAAGAGAGAAGTCTCAGGTGGAGAGGTGAAGCATGTATAGTCACTGCAAACACTGAGTGCTTTTGCCTAATTTACGGTGTAAAAGGGTCAGATGCTCTCTGCAGCATCTGGGAGAAATGAAAGATGGTGGTGTCATGCTGCTGCTTTTGGTCATGGCACGAGCCTGTGTCAGCCTGGAAAACCTCCTTCTGGGCCTAGGGGTTTGCTGCACTGGGTTGTTCCCTGTTCCCTGTTTTTTTGTGTTCTGCAGGTTCAATTTCAAATTAGAGGAGCTAAGCTTAGGCCTATATTGAACTTCCTTTCCTACACTGTTCCCTGGGGATTACTGTTCTGATCCAGCCTTCATTGTTTCTTATTTCCCTCTAAATCTTACAATTAAATAAACAAAACCCAATTTTGTTTTGCTGTTTTCTCCCAAACTGACAGTTACTTTCACAGTTAATGTTTCAGAATGGAATGAAAACAAAGTACTATGCATGTTGGGAATGTATGTTTACCTGCAATGAAAGGTTCAAATTCACTTGGTTTCATGTCTGGAAGTAAATCAGTGCATCCACGCATCACAGTTCCTCCATTGGGGTAAAAGTCCAGGTGACCAGTGGTGTTATATATTCCAAGCCCTGAGATACACGTGGTGAGGTCAGTGTCTCAGTGACATGGTGCCCATCCCTGCAGGTATTTACTTACACATGAACACTTACCTACAGCAGGAAAGTGAGCAGCATTACTGTGAATGATATCAACAAAGTTTGCATCTGAAGGATCCAGCCTCACCTCAGGAGGAGTGCCTTCAAAACAGGGCCCAGCAGGGTCTAAACCTAAAAGAACCCCCCCCCATTTATTGTTTGAGGGAGGGAAGGAAGTGTTGCATGTATTAATGTTTTTGCCAATTTACAACATCCGTTGTTCAGTACTGCACAAAGCATGTTGAATGATAATAATGCGAATGTTAAGCTAAACTGAAAAGAAAATGTGCAAAAACATGGTTTTGTGAACCTTTCTATAAACTTATTCCACCAGAAGTAAAGTATTTGCCAGTAGACTACAGAATGGCATCATATTACCATGAAGAAGTCATTTTATTACCTTTGAGCTTATTACTGGCCTGTAAAGCTTTACAGATAAGAAAATCTAAGGATTCTTGACATGTTGCTTTGTCTTTGCATAGGGTTTGATGTAACATTACCATCATTCACTGGATTAAATATAAACTATGTCTTTTGCTCCACTAAAGTCTTCCACTACAGTTTTTAACTTAACTAGAGAAGGAAAATGTAATAATTACCCTTGTTTCTGGGAAGCACAAAGTTTGTCTGCTCTCATGAGAGATGCCTCCAGCACTGCCAATCATTTAATTCCAGTTTACAGGCCAGTGTGTTGCAAGTTTCTTTCCTTTAGACACATGCAGTGTTAGCTCTGCACATCGGTCAACAGCCTACCTGTTATCCGTCTGATGCCTGGAGTCCTTCTTCCTGCCTCTCCTGCAGTGTGTGCTCCCAGGCTGTGGCCAATTAAATGGATGTCATGAGGGGAGCATCTGGAGACTTTCTGATCATTGAGGTGGTGGTGGGAGACAAGAACACAGGCTTTAAGTAGCAAGCAAAGAGGGTGTCTTACATTATGGGCCTTCCGGAACATCTAGACTGACTTCCTGCATAGCAAACTGGGATTGAGGTTTTTTTAAGTGAGTTCCTTGACTTAATTATTGTTTAAATTACACTAAGACTTGATAGGAAATGATCCGATGTAGAATTTAAAATGCCTAGTCCTGATGGATTCACTTTTGTAGGGTTGGTGTATGGTTACCATATTCATTTACTCTTGGTGACAAAATATGAACCTTCTTTCTCATTTGGATCAAACCCTAATTTAATTTTTGTCAAAATAATGTCATTTTTTCTTTATTTACTCAATTATGGAGCCTTTTTTAATTGCATGTCTGCCCTCAATGTGCATACATAGAATATGTGATAACATTCAATAGTATTTTGGCTGACAAGCTTAGGTGGGGTGACATTTATTCTCCTCTTTGCCACATGTTAGCTGTACAAGACCTGCACTGTTAAGATATTACACATGCATTGAAGGTGGAAATGGAGATTAATTAATGTGTAAGCTGCATGCAGGGGATATGTTTCATTCAAGGATTTGCTGGATTTTATAATGACCAAATCCAACTAGGACTGGTTGCTAATTCCTTAATGGTTTTACACCAAGTTCTGTTTTGTAATGCAGTTGTATGCAGAATGTATCCAAATAAAAGCAGATCTGTAGTACTGGCCTGTCTACCTTTAGTAGTAGACAATAGGTTCTTCTGAATACGATTTACTGGAGTACTTCTGTTTACAGTGCAGCTTAACCTTTCCTAAAGTCAAACTGCAGAAGTTTATAAACTGGGGAAAAGGAAGTCTAAGGAACATTTATGCATTTTTCTAAAGGAAGAAAAACAGGCCTAGACTGCAAAAGGTGCAGTAATAGAGATATTAAATGAAAAACTGAACGCATCTTCAAGTGACCTGGGATTTGTACGCAAAGAAGAAAGATACAGAAGCAAACATGTGAGCCTACATAAGAACCTCCTAGGTAGAAACAACCGATTGTACCCCAGCAGATTCTGGAGAAGTGCTCTTTTGTATTCAGGTGCTTGCAAAGTCAGCACTGCTGTGTGGGCTCTGAACTACTTCTTGCAGCACTTCAAGATGAACGCCTCCTGACCAGGATCAAGTCCGTAGCCAGGCAGCGTTCTGATTTTCAGCATGTCTAAGTACTCATGAGTCTTCCTGAAGTCAGCAGGAAATGCCAATACTCTTAAACTTCACATCTGAGCAGTTCTGTGCGGTATGTGTAGATGTGAACACTGGCTTTCAGGAACATGAAGTTCACAACTAGAAGGCAACTGGATGATTTATCGTGCCTGTAGACAGCAAATATGGCATTGTCAAGTGAGTCAGCTCCTCCTCGTTTCAGTTGTGCTGAGCTGAGACACTAACTCACTTCTAGCGCAAGTATCTAACGTTGGCAAAACTCTCACGAGCACCGAACTCACAGACCTTGCCTCCCCTCCACGGAATGCTTGCTTTCCTGTATGATCATATGGAAATGTTGCCACCTACTGGCTTTTAATTAATTGGCACCTCTTTTCAATCAGCGTAATGCGTGTCTTTTGGGGCAGCACAACCCCTCTATATCCACTGAAGTTGTAGGTGGTAAGGTTGTGCCTTTTACCTTTAAAATGTTGATGATATAGGCAATCTCGGCCCCAATCACACGGAGGTTGTTCACCGCACTGATGTAGGTGCCTTTTGCACCTTCTTTCCAGTCGACAGCAATGCAGTTGATGTTTTCCACTTCCAGTAACAGCTGGTGCGGAAACACATAAAGTATTTAAGGAGACAAAATAACAGAGATAAAACTGAAATTGGAATGAGCGTTAAAAGGTAATATAGTAATGCAATTTCCCAATCTTTACTAAGCAGGACTCTTCACTGTTGCCTGTGCCATGCTGAAACATGGATCTTCTTGCAAAACAGAATATAACAAGCCATTCATCCAAAAAGTATCAATTATGAATGACCATAATAAAAATATTTTAATCTATAAACCATTTGCATACCTATTTGAAGTAATCTGGAAAAGCCACACAACAGCACAGTAGTCTCTATGCACAGGATGTGACTTTCTTTGAGAGATGTTGTTAGCTTAACTGAATAGTATAGAAAGTAGACTTATTTACCAAGTACCTTTAGAACTGAGAAAGTCAAAGTCATGTCAGACTGGAAAGGTCTGGAGTAGAGAAGAAAGTTTCTATTTCAGTAAAGAAAGCTAATGTGTTGGTCACTTCAGTACTAGTCTGTCTTGCAGAGATCAGTGATTCTCCTAGTAGAAGAATTATGTATTAAAGTCTACGGTTATAGCTTTCTGTGACTAAAGCTCACTTAAGGTTTGAGAAAGAACAAGAATTGGAAACAAAAAATAATCCATGATAAACAGCTGAAGGTGAATGACAAAGAAAGCAAAAGGTTGAAGAGATAGTGCGTTGATGCAGTCTGTAGGGTTTGGGGATGGAAACTCTAGGGAAACCTAATGTCAGAGATGTCCAAGAAGTCTCCAATATGCTGCATCTTCCAGAGTGGGAACATATTTTGGTGTTTGTGAAATTTGCTTCTTGATTGGTATCTGCCACAACCTAACAAACTGCAAGCTGGAAAGTGAACATTAATGCCTAAAGGATACTGACAGTTTGTAGTTACAACCGCTGATGGAAATCAGAAGCTACTCGCATACCAAGCACATTTCTACCACCCAGCCTTCTCTTCCAGTGCTGCCAAATCCATGAATGATGAAGGTGGTGTTCCTACTTGAGCAAAAATGTGAGTTTTGGATCGTTGAGGAGTTTATTGCTGAGATGAGCTGGTTTTGGAGGGGAAAAAAGGAGAAAAAAGATTAATTTATTTGTACTTTCAAACAGTCTAAAAAGCCAATTAGGTCATCCACTCTGTAGGACTCAAGGGACTACTTTGAATGGACCAAGTCTGATTTTTGCAACTCTGGAACCCCTGTACCTCTCCTTTCCCAGTTCCACCGTGGTTTCTGAAGAAGTTATTCCCATGTTGTTTCTGCTGCTCCTGTCTATTCTGCTTAATGCAGGAAGAGCCCCCTTATGTGGAATGTGAAGTGACCTAAAGGGGCCACAATGTCCAATGCTGCCTGTTGGCTCTAGTTGGAAGAGTTCCTTCTGGGAAAAGCCCACCAGTTCCAGATCTCCTGGTTCAGCTTGCTTTTTCACTGACCTGAGCTGTGGCTTCAGTGTGTTGCACTGCATCTAAACAACAGCGTTTGTTGTTCTGTATAGGTGGTGTTCATACGGTGGTTTTGTCATTCTACTCCAGAAAGGCAAGAACTGTCAGCAATAAGGGTGAAGCTGATCTTCACACATTGCTGCAAGCTTCTTTATTATAAATATTCCCTTTTCTCTGAGAATGACATCTGTTTGTATTGTTTTCAGACAAATACAGGGTCTGTGATATGAGCTCAGGGAGTTTGGGTGTAGAAGGGCTGTGCCATAGATCATAAACATTGAAGTTTAGTGGCTGGGAAGCAGTGTAAGTTGACTTATTTTACCAACAACAGAAGTACTGAGTAACCTGTTGCTGAACGTATCTTGTGTGCTCACATGCCCCTGCTCTGAAGGTTGTGAGAGTTTATTGCAGGTATAACTTCTCACCCTTAGAGAGCCCGAGTTGGACTCTCATTGTGGCAATCAGGATTGCTGTAAGCAATGATGTCTGCAATAGCAGTGGTGGCATCATAGGTCATGCCAGAGGAATCCTAAACATCCCTTACAGCTCAGGGGACACTAGGTTTGGGAGCCTGGAAGGGATTTAGTAGCTTCATAAACATTTGCTGAAGTGGTCCCAGATCCTGATCTTACAGGTTCCTCTGTATTGCTCTGCTCAGTATTTCAGGGCATAAGCAACCTGAGTAGTTCTGTTTTACTTTCAAAGCGCAGAGAGGCAGGTAAGAATGTAAAATCACTCTCCTTTCATTGTGGGTTTGGAACCTGCTAAAATCAGTCTTAGAGTTTTAGTTTTAGAGCTCACAATAATTTCACAGTTCAGCTCTGGAAGACAGCACTATTTGCTCTCCTACCTGAATACACAGAAGGCTCGTTATTGGAGTGAGTCTTCAGCTTTCCTCAGAGACCTAAGTGCATGCAAAAGGCAGTCTGCCATAACCCGTATCCTTCCACAGGAAAATGCCAGGAAAGCTGTTGTGTCTTACAGTTCATTCACAACATTTTTGCTGTACTTTATCCCAAAGTACCTTTAGTACCATACCTTCAACTACCTTCTTATTCTGTTTTGCCTCTGATGACTGACAGACTTTTTAAATAATAAACAAACATTGTAGGTTTAATCAGTTCTCAATGTTAGAAATAAATGTCACCTGTGAGTTATTTCCTGTTTCTCTGGTGTAGAGGGAGAAGGTGATGTTCATCTCTTCCGGATTGTCAGGCAAACCAGTCAGAAGTCTCCCTGGTATCCCAGACCAGGGTGGATCATCTGTGAAACAGCCAAGCCTGGGGTAGCAAACCTCTTTACCTAGAGTAGAACAAACAACTGGTTTACATGTTGGACTTTCTTGTGCTCAATGATCTATTTGAGCCTACAAAAGTCTGAGGAACAGAAAGGGAAGGATTTTATTTCATGATGAATTTTGAAACTGTGATTCATTCTTGTTTCCTTCATGGCTCTTGGCTGAAGCAGGTACACACAGGGAGCTAAATAATTTGAAGATAACCCAGATGCTGTTTTGATACCATTTTCTAGGCTTGTAAAGGATTAACCTAGTTTCTTTAAAAAAGTCTTGCAAGAAGTGCTTGTTAGGATTACTCCAGCATGCTTCCTACTCCAAAGCATCGTGTCTCTGCTCATAGGATTGAAGGATATTTATGCAGTGACCTTGTACTGTTAATAAAATGGTAATTTCCTTCAATATAGTAGCTTTTCCTAGATCAAATGGGTCTCTTGTTCACTTATGATCCACTTCTATGTTTCAGCACTGTCTGTTGTGCTAAACACCCTGTTGCTGAAACGTTCTTTGTATACAGCTTGTACACTGCTTTAATAGAAGTAGGACACATGATCCTGAATTTCTCTGTGGATTTTCAGCACAGTGTTATCTCTCAAGAATAAAATTTAAAGAGAGCAGAGCCTTTTCGCATTAGTCCTATGCACAGGAATAGACATTGCCACACAATTACCCACACGAATCATACTACAACTCCAGTGTTAAATACCAGTCATCATTTCCTATATATTATTTCATCTGAATTCACCTTCTAGTGGTAGTTTTCATAGATAAAGTGTCTCACCTGCTACAGTGCCAAGGAGATAAAATGCAATAATCCACATTCCAGCCACCTAAAGTAAATTGAATATTCAGGTTAAGCATTTTATTTAGAGTGATTTGTCCTCTTTAAAAGCATTTATCACAAAGGGTAGCTTAAAAACCTGCACCTGAGGAGGAATAGTTTCATACACTGAGTGGTACACAATGGGGACCTGTCAGCTGGGAGGAAGCTTTGCCGAAAGAGACCTGAGGGTCATGGTGAACACCAATCGACCATAAGCCAGCAACATGTGCTTGCAGCAAAGACATCCAGTAGCATCCTGAGCTGCATTAGGAGGAGTGTTGCCAACAGGATGAGAGAGGTTATCCTTCCCTTCCTCTCAGTTTTGCTTTTCACTGCGTTTCTTGCACAGCCAATACTGTATATGGATTGCTGAGGAAGTGAATCAGATTATGAGGTCCTGAGTTTTGCCCGCTGCGAGGAGACAGGTGGGAGATATATTAGAATAAAGACAGTGATACCTGTAGCTTGGTAAAGTCTTCATGCTTGACTTGGGCCCCTCACTACAAGAAAGACATTGAGGTTCTAGAGTGTGTCGAAAAAGAGCAAAGAACCTGGTGAAGGGTCTGGAGCACAAGACTGAGAAGATGTGGCTCAGGGAATTGGGGTTATTTAATCCGGAGAAGAGGAAGCTCAGGGGAGACCTTATCACTCTGTACAACTACCTGAAAGGAGGATGGAGCAAAGCAGGGAGCAGTCTCTTCTCCAAGTAACAAGCGATAGGACAAGAGGAAATGGCCTCAAATTGCACCAGGGGAGGTGTAGATTAGAAACATATCTTCACCATAATTGTTGTCAAGCACTGGAATGGGCTGCCCAGGAAGTGGTGGAGTCACCATTCCTGGAGGTATTTAAAAGACATGTAGATGTGACACTTAGGCATATGGTTTAGTGGTGGATTTGGTAGTGTTAGGCTGATGGTAGGAATTGTTTTTTTTTCCATCCTAAATGATTCTATCTACAGGCTGTTCATGCTGCTTTTTACCTGGGGCTTTTAGTATTTTTGCACCATAGTATCCTTTACTATATACATATTCCTTTTCTCTACACTTTCCCTTTACTCTTGGCTTTCCCATGTCATTTATTTCACCATTCTGCTCCTTCCCATTTGCCTCATTCACTGTTCTCAATTTCCTCTTCTTCAAAGTGTTTTCTGTACCTCTTGTCTTCTATTTTTAACATACTGCTTTTCTTGCAGAGCAAAAACTTTGAGCTATTGCCCCTGGTCACGGAGATAGCTCATTAGAAGTAATTAAGGAAAAAATAGTAGATTTTAGTAGGTATAATCTTGTTATGTGGGAAATTGTCTACAAGAGCTATTCTTGGAGATTTGCCAACGTGAGAAATTTAGAAAATGAGCTTTTTAAAGGCCATTGACACTGCCAAATGCTCCCAGAAACAAACAAGAAACAATTGGGAATTTCACAGAACATGTCCTTGGAGTATGTCTGTCACATGTCAGACAGGAGGCATGTATGATTCCCCTGTGTGAGCTGGATTACTTGGCTGTAGTGATGTTGTTCCCTAAACAAGCCCCATGGAACAGGTCAGAGTGAAGGGAGTGTGTCTCATCACTCTAATAAACTCTGAAGTCCCTATGTGGTAATAGCTTGTTGTTTATATGGTAGGGCAGAGGAGCAAGGCTGAATATCTAAACATTGAGCTGGAGTTGCAGTGTGCATGGCTTAGAGGAATCATGAAATACAATTCTGTCCCCAACTTTAACATATCCATTGATGTAGGTGACAGAGAAGAAATCTAGGTGCTTGAGGAGAGTGGGAAGCAGAGAGGAAGTCTGGCAGTGATTAAGGGTAGGAGGGAAGGGGATCAGGAGTTATTCTAAGCAGCTGATAACACAGAAGAACAGAGAGTTCCCAAGTGTCAGCCAAAAGGATCACTTCCGTTCAGCTGCAATATCCATCAAGAAGTACCCATTATCATGATGAGAACCTGATGAGAGTGCAGGAAAATCACAGAAGATGTGGCTCATCAAATAAATTGGAGAGCTCAGTGGAATTTATGTTTAATGAAAAGCTCTCATACTCAGGAGATGTATAGTCCTTGTCAGGAACACTACAGCATGAATGGTAGTATAATTTCTTTTTGGACCCAAAATCTCTAAGGCAGCTAATGAGTAATGACTGTAGAAAACATGGGAGGTTGTTGTCAAATAAAATTGATCAGTAATTTCCTATCACAGATTCTTCCTTTGAAGGCAGAAAGTAGAAATGAACATGTAGCAAGGTAAGTAATGAAAGATGCAGATTTATTATTTTTCATTTATTTATTGTTTTTGTGGAATGTTGATTTATTCTGTTATTAAGAGAGATGTAGTTTGGGTAGCAGATGATTCTTTTTTACTGGGTAGGTTTTCGATACTGATCCATGTTAGGGTGGTGAGGCACTGGAATGGGTTGCCCAGGGAGGTTGTAAATGCTCCATCTCTGGCAGTGTTCAAGGCCAGGTTGGATAAAGCATTGGGTGAGATGGTTTAGTGTGAGGTGTCCCTGGCCATGGCAGAGGGGTTGGAACTAGATGCTCTTAAGGTCCTTTCCAACCGTAACTATTCTATGATTCTATGTTAAATGACAACAAGATTGCAAGGAGGTTAAGAAATTATGTCTTTCTAAAAACAGTTGAGGCAGCAATCCATTCGATGGGGGAAAACTGTCACTGGGCATTTAAAAGGCTGAGTGCTGAACAAGAGGAACTGGAATGACTTGTTTGTGAAAATGATCTCAGCCTAGCCAGTATTGCTGGCAAGAAGGCTGCTGAACACTTAGCCCAATTGTTATACTCAGCTAAATTAAATTGTTATATGCAGTGGACAAAGGATATGCACTTCTGAAGCAATATCAGCCCTAAACAGCAATTTAGAAATATTTAGCTCAGAGAAAAAAAGAAAAAGAAGAGAAAAGAAAGAAAAGGCAAACATTCATAGGATGACATTGCAATGTACAAAACCTACAGTGGAGCAGTAGTTGTCCTTACAATAGGCCACCAGGGCATCTTCTGGACTCTGTTGCTCAACCTGCAAGTCATGGGCCACTAGTGGATGGTTTGTGAGATATGAGAAAGTCTGCATAATGACTGTCAGCAGTGTGCTTTTAAGTCCCTCACATGTACCCACACACCTTCCTCAGGACATGCACACAAACACGCACACCAACACAGGCTATTACTGAGAAGCAAGTCCAAATCTCAGCTTTTTTAGTTATCAGCATTTTTAACCTAATAATCTTACTCCAGGAAATAGATATATTTTCATCTAGACCAAGATATGTTGTTTATATGATTGCTAAGAATTTTACTCACCATTCTCTTATCGCTCTTCTTCTCTGGTGAGGAGTAACAGGCTGAGGCAGAATAATGAAATTCTCTACAGGATACTCAGTCAAGAAAGAAAAATGGCAAGAACCTGTTAAAATTAAGTTACATCATTGAATTCAGTTACATGACATGACAAACTAACGCGACACTCTCATAAGATCAACACTCAAGCCTCATGATACTTTGGTTTTAATAAGACCTGCTTTGCTATTTGGTATTTATTTAAGAAATTAAAATTATATACATGCATTATTACAACAGTTAAGTAGATGAGAAGTTAAATGCATGGATTAAATAGATTAAAAATTGAGCAATTACTGCATTTCAGACTATGATAGCAAAGGACTAGAAGGCAACTCCTGAACTTACAAATACAGTTCTTGCCATTGCATCATACCATGATGAAGCTGTGGTCATGGGGTTTTTTCAGCTGTTTTTTGACCCTGTTTTTCAGTGCTCATGATGAATCATCACTGATCAGGGTTTTATAGGAATCAGTTTCTTCCATTACACTGCATGCCAGCTTTCAACACTGGTATTGCTGGACATGAGCTCATACTGAAAAAAATAGACATCTAGACAGCAATTAATAAATAAAAAGTACAGGTCATGAATGTTGGATTATGTTTTATAGTTTGGGAAAGTAAATGCTGTCATACTGCCTATCATACAGAATGGAGATGAGCATCTGAGGAAGCAATGACTGAAAAGGCCTTTGAAGTCTTGCTAATCTATTACTAGTGACTTTTGAAGTGCCAAAGAACTTGTTAGTCTTTGTTTCCATGCAGCTGGGAGAATAGTATTTTTAGTATATGCATTGTATTCAATATATAGATGGAGAAGATATTATTTAAAGAGTACAGAGGTTTCATTGGTCAAGAGGGATATTGAGAAAATGGAGGTTGAGAGAAAGTCTTGTTGGATCATCATGAGAATAGAAAAAAGGGAAGGCAGAGCAAGAAGCGAAGAGAGAACTTTTAAGACTAGGAGTATGAAGGTTCAAAGTGTAAATGGTTGCTCCCCAAAGGTGTAACTTCAGACCAGAAGAGGAGCAGTGATGCTTAAAAATGCAATAGTGGCAGAACATGAATTAGCCATGAAAAAATGAAGTCTGGTATGTTGCCCTGAAATAGCTGTCAAGCTGAAGTCATAGGGGAAAAACAACATAGCTAGTTTTAAGATGAAGTTTTGTCACATTTAATGTGACAGTGAGAAGTGGAATGGACAAGGGTTGATGTCCTAGATGGTGCTTTCCACTTCTTCATCCTGTATTTCAAAGAGGCCAAATGGGAAGGTAAAGGGTCACCTCAGCAGCCTCTGCTGATATGGGGATCAGCCTTTGTTAATATCACTGTGTTCAAAGCAAGCAGCAGGAGAGCAGGAGCACCTCCTTATGCAGTAACATCCCCAGTGCTAGCACATTTTCACATGTCAACAAACCAATTGTGGCATCTTCTGTCCCTTCAGTCTTATGTGGTCTTTCCATTATTCAGGTCAGCTTTTCCCCCTTCAGTACAGTAGTTTAAGTATCTTTACCTTCTTTCAAAATATTCACCGTTTATGTGTTTTTCCCCATCCTTTCTTGCCTTACAACTCCAACCATACTTCCTATATTTCCTGCACTGACACTGTCCTTAAACAGAGAATATTTTGATCAGTTCTGTCTTTCCAGTGATTTATTTTAGCCTTTCATATTTTTCAGTAGTTTGGCACAGCGCTCAGTTAACACAACACAAAGGAGAACCCATCTGGAGTTTAGCATATAAAGCTTGGGTATAGAAATTACAGGTTAAGTTTCCTGCTTTCAGCAAATTCTTGCATGGCTTTGAGCCTGAGGCATTTAGAAAACACTTGCAAGTTGCACATCCAAGTATTGTAACATAACCCAGAATGGTAAAAGAAACTAAGGAAAAGAAATCACATTAGTGTCTCTAGGCCTCATAAAAGGGATTGTATATGTACTTACCCATATGCAAATACCTGAAAGTACTATAATTTTGTTTGCTTTATTTGAATGTGATTTTGTTGTTCAGTCCCTTCTCTGCAAGTATACAAAGAACATAATCTTTTCTAGGCACTGTCCCTGTTCAGTATCTCAGACACACCATTTGCCCGACTATCAAATACTGAAAACTAGTGAGCACAGTACTGGACATATTTAACAGTATGTATGTCACTTTTGTAGTGGAGCAAAGATGTTCAGAACCTTTAGTTAGATACCCTTCCTCCAAACCACCCAATATGAAGTAATACCCAAGGCAGGGCTCACATACATTGTCTGGTCTGGGTGATAGAGTTTTCTGAGTGTCTACTGACCTCTTAAACTGAATCAGAGACAGTGGACTAAGGCATTAACATGAAATAATGAGTCGTAATAGTGATCCAGTTTTTTTTCTTAAGGTGTTTAATGTGGAAAGTACTCCAATAAAAGGTTAGTAAGTATGCAAAGTTGTACATGTAATTGTTCATCACTGGAGGCTACAGGAAGAGTTGGGCTTTTAAGGTATTTAGGTCGGTTGCTTAGAAATGGTGAACAATTTCACGCAATTATGGCATAATAGTGAAGAAAAGCTGTTAAACAACAACTCCTTGGCTTCCCACTTCAGGACTTAGTGCGGTGTCTGCTCTGATTTCTGAAATAATAGGGTTCTCACCACTGGTAGTCATACACTTAAGCTAACAGAGACAATTATGATCATTTAATCTGACCACAAGCATCATAAAACCTTCAACAAACATGATTCAGTTTTAGGAAGTGGCCATACCAGTTCTAAGCCAAGGAGGGAGCCTTCAGCTGACTTATAGCCATCATCTGGTCACTTGTCTGTCTTCTAGGAGGATCCTCGCTGTTCTTCTTCATGATTAGGCTACTTTCTAATTTTGTCAACTCTGAGGCCAACACTATTTGTCTTTTGCCATTTCTGAAGGGCAGAATAACCCTTGCTGTTGACTAATTCAGTTTTCTCTGTATGTGCCTACCAAACGTTTGCTATATTCTTCCAGATAACAGCTCTGTAATTCTTCCCCACTTCCACTCTCCCTTTAAATTTGCAGTGCTCCCAATGCTTAATTATGTATCCTCATCTTTCCTCCTTTTAATTTGAGCTGTTGTGTTCTCAGGCATTTTCACTTAGAAAAAAGTCCAGATTCCATACGCAAACACCATCATTTAATCTTCCTTTAAAAACAAAGTTGTTTCAGTCCTACATTACCTTAGCCCCACTGAATCCGCCCTGTTTTCTTAGCTGCATTACATTATCTCAGCCCAGAAGTTCTCCTCTCCTACTGGAATTTCCTGGAATTGAAAAGTTTGAAGCCTTGTAGCTCCTGCCAGTCTCCTCAGGGTCACTCTGAGTGCTGCTGTTCGCTTATTGCCTGTTGACTCAAACCATACCGTTCAGCCTGTCTTTTCTTAAACAGGAGTCCTTACAGTCCTTCAGCCCCAGCCAGCAGTTAGTAAGGACGCTCCCCCCAAATCCCAACCAAGTTTTCAGCCACTTACGACTCTGAATGCAGCAGGGGTTCCTGATTTGCAAGCTCCCTTCAGCCAGCTCCTTGTCAAATCCTGGTTGCTACCGGCTCTTTTCACTTGGAATTGGTCCCACAATGGTGGGTGCGGACCTGCCCACACGCCGTCTAATTATAGGCTTCCTGTGGGTGAGTACCTTTGTGAGAATGATACCCTTAATGCTGGATATAACAGATGTTGCCTTTTCTTGTCTCTCATCGTATCTAATAGATGAAAATCTTCACCTCTTAAAAGTTTCCCTATGGATTTGAAGGAAAGCAAGACCATTTTAGACCTCAGAGTGGGTTGTTGTATGTAATGTTCATAACAGTCAATGTGAGATGTCCACCTTAGCTGGTTATTGTAAGGTCCTGTTACAGGCAATGGGCTGAGCCTCCTCCGCAGCTTAATTTTGCTGCCCTGCGTCACCTGCTAGAAGTCACCAGCTATCTGTTTGTTATCTGTCTGACATACGTGCCCTGGTACATTTTCACGCAGTCAAACATGTTTATATTTCTTACAGCTTCTTTTAAAAAAAGGGGGAGCAAAAAAAATTGTGTTATAGCTTAGGGACAATATAGGTATCTGAGCATTTGTTAGCTTTTTCTAGTGAAGTTACTCAAGCTCCATCTACCCATTACCATTTTGATTAATCTATGTGCTCTTGGGACAATTGGGATTCACAGATTAGGTTTCTCTACCCAAACTCTCTTTCAGCTTAATTATTCCTTGTCCTGTTACTACATGTCCTCATAAAAGTCCCTCTCCAGACTTCTTGAAGGCCCCCTCAAAGTATTGAAAGGCCTTCTCTTCTCCAGGCTGAACAAGCCCATTCATGTCATTCAGATTCTTCTTTGTAATGCCTTCTTGACCTGTCCATCATGTAAGTCCCAGGCTCTCTTCTGTGCTTTGGAGTCTGTGGGTCAAAACTGTCATGACCCAAAACTTTCAGCTCCTGGGCAAGGCCTCAGGTCACACTGCTATCTACAGGACGGGTTCCGCCATAATCACCTGTTCAGGCAACTGTATGAGAGTGACTACCACCCTTACACAAGGAATGATTCAGGTGCCTAAGGGCAGGAAGTAACTTGGGTTGAGTCTGCTGCTCATATAAGAAGCCAATTTGTGGTCTTGAGATACATGCATTGCCTGAGAGAAGATATAATTTCAGAAATAACACCAGAACTATGTTTTTCCATATGCTGAGCTGTACATAATGCACTCAGCCTGCTAGCCATTGTAAAAAACAAGTCAAGAGTGTCTCTCCTTGCAGCATGTGACACCTACATGAACGTTCGGATCTGGGTCTGGTTCTTTTTGGTAAAGTGGTGCAAGCTAGTGCCACATAGAAATCATTAGAAACAAGTCTCAGGAATCTGGAGCAAGCAGTGGCTGGTCATGACTGGATATCATGTTTAATTACTGCTTACACTGAAGACACGTGTAATTTTAGATAAGACAAAACAGATCTAGCTAATAAGAAATTATCCGCAGTTTAGTCTACGTTCATTGACTGGAAGATGGAAATTTGGCAGCAGTTATGGAACCCGTATCTCCTC